CCGGCGCGACACAAAACGTCTGTACATACTCACTGTCACTGTGATAATCCAGTCGGGTAGCCACACGTAGAAGAAATGGTTCTCATTTCATACACTCTCACATTTATTAATAATCGATCAAAAATGGTTCTGCAGCCAGACGACGATTGGTTGATACGGCATTTCAATGTTTCGAGTATAAAATGTTGATTGTACGCTGTCATTTGGAATCAATCAAAACACATGGCCATGTGTCAAATATCGCATACGAAAGATACCAGACAATGAACGGCGTTCATTCAGGGTAGTTCATTGCTTTTGAAAATGATGATAGGCTTTGCACATTAACTTACTACCGTGTGTGTGTCCCTCTCACTCTTTCTTTCTCTGTGTGTCGCCTGTCGTTTTGCCATTGTATCATGTGAGTGTGTGTGTCTGTGTATATAGTATATTGTCAATCAAACACAAAAGTCAACACGAATGGAAAATGCGTTATCGTTTGGAAACACTCGCTCATCACTGGATTGTGCACACCAATGAACTAATGCTTCCTCGCCACGCAAACAATAGATCTGGTGAATTGAACCAAACCTATTTTACTATGTGTATGTGTGTGTTGATGCGCTCTTTCTCACTCTTTTCCACTCTGTCTAATCACTCTCTCTCTCTCTCTCTCCGTCTCTTTCTTCTCCGTTTCATTCTTTTATTAACCAATTTTATGAAGTTACCCCAAAATGAATCTTATTGAAATTTTTCGTGCATATGTTCTTATAAAGAAAAAGTTGGTATACCACCAACGGCTGGATATTCACATTTTTCACATCCTCAGTGCGCCGCTTTTCTTCGTACAGTACATCCAATTCATCGCCTCACAATTTACTTGATCGAATTCGAATTAATTCTATTGGAACGGTACGATAATCAACTTATTGTCTATAAATTTAATTAATGAACATTTTGTGTGTGTATAGCCAGCATCACAAGCAGCAAGCAGCTCTTTAATCAACTTCAGGAAAAACATAATTGCAACTTTGTCAGCTTTGTTGACAATTCGCTTCGAGCTCAATACCCACACACACTCACATTAATGGCTGAACAAACATAATGTCACTCATGAACAAACGACACAACCATTCATTTTCACTTCAAACAAAATCCTCACATTGACTTGTTAGCAAATGATAGTTGATTTATAGGAAAGAATTTGGTGTAAACGTTTCTACATATAGTGAGCAAATCGACCGTATGAATCGTTGCTGGTAGAATATACGGTGATGTTATCATCCAACAAAGAAGGAATAGAAAAAACTGCACACATTTTTACTGAATATTTAATTATCACACTTGGCAGCTGACTCACGGCTCTTTTTTTTCTACAAGGACTCTTCCCTTGATAAATGATACTATACGCGAAAGAGGAAAAGAATAGAATGCCTCGAAAAAGGACACATCGTAGAATCCAATGAATGCATTTTTTTCTTCTATTTCAAAAATCGTCGGCGTCAGTAAATATGTTGATTTGAATCATTGGATTTTTTCTGCATTTTTGAAATGGAAGTGAAATTTGCTGCGGAAAATGATGAGCTTACACGGGGATTGTCGAGCTGACAATCAGTTGTCTAAATATTCTGATTGGAACGGTACATTTGAACATTTTATAATGCTCACAATATACAATTGATCTATTTTTGAGCTTTCGTTGTCTGCAATGTAATTTTCGTCCAAAATAAACCCGGTGATTTCATAAAAATCTCTATGTATGTGTTCAAGAACTGTCGGTACAATATCCGGTAAAACTACTTGAAAAATGTGCGAAAATAAAAGAAAAACTACCAAAAGGGGAAAAAAATATGGTGAACATTTCACGCATAACAACACATTCGCATGCGAAAATGAATGCGAAACGTCTGTTGCAAAGCACAAAAGAGCGCGCACACACAGAGAGAGTCGTTATTACTACGTGGCCTCTTCTTTCAAGATATTTCGGTCCTAAATGTAGTAAATAATGCATTAAAAAGGCAGTGAAATAGAAGAGGAATACAAATGGCTTGAGCTCACCATCCGGGTGAATACGTTTAAGTTGGGACGTGACACTGTCTGACTTTGTCTGCTCAGAAGAAAATCTCGCATATAGCGTGGGACCGAGAAACAGAAGCAAAAAACGACACACTCACATTGAGAGAGAGATAGAGAGTGATGACGATGAAGAAGAAACCTTGCATAACGCATACAGCAAGTTCTGCACAAAACTAGACTCATTCGAGCGAAGGAGAGAGAGAGAGAATGGAAGAGCTGAAATGAACGTTGGTTGGCTGGCTGTCTGACGGTGGCAATGGTGGTGGCGTCGGCGGCTGTATTCCAAGCGAAGAATGTAATCTCATGCAAGTTGATTTCAGCTAGCAATTGCATTACTTGGATGCTTCATCATTTCGGTTCGCATTGGAAACACGTAATAAGTAAGAATTTTTACATGCGCGCTGTTATGTCAATTCAATTAGCCATTCCCAATACAAACAAATGTGCAGCACTATGCAGATCAGCCGAGCAATGATGGAGAGACAGAAGAGGAAGCGAAAAATAGAGAAGAAATAACAGCATACATCCCAGCCCAACCAGAGAGATACGACAGAATATTCAAGCGTGTCGTTTTGGATGGCATACTCATGAATACATATAGTTTAATCGATGTGGAAGCTACCCAGCTCCAACATCATTGAATCAAATTGAAAATCGCAACGACAACAGCAACAACGTCGACGACGACAACGATGAAAAAAGCACGAAGTGAGAGAGAAAATTAAAGGTCTTGTCGTTGTATAACGGTGACGACGACAACGATGCTCACAGCAGCCTGCAAATGCATTTCACTCCGGACGCAAATACACTTAATACATATCCAATGTACGTGACTCGATACATGCACACACAACGTGTACATGCCGTAGTGGCAAGAAGAAACAACATTTGTCACTGTTTATGCACTATTTTTATTGTCTGCAGTTGCGATCGCTCAATTGAAAGCATAATGTGACAGTCACAAGTGTTACAATGCTTTTCGGATTTCTTTCTTCATCTTCTTCTTCTTCTTCTTCGTCCCAAAAAAGCTCCCACAAATATTCGCCCAAGGAGCGATTTTTTCCCTTTGAACGGTGGCGAAAACGAATGAAAATTGATTTATTTTCACTCATTTCGATTCCATTTACATTTTTCAGCGACACGAACGAGACATGTTGTCAACAAGATATTACATATTCATGAAATATTATTACTATTGAGCACGTGAGTCCATCTGTGTTGAAATGAAATTTACAAGAGCAAAGGATGCCAAAATTTATCTAAATTTCAGCAATTATGCTTCAGCTTATGAACTATGGTTAGCTAACTATGTAACAACTCTACATTTTTGCAATAAACCACGCCGGTAAACGTATTGGTATATGAACCAGTAATTTCATCGAAATTCGATTTTTTTAGTACGATTTTTGGGTTGTTTTGTACGATTTTAGGTTCACCCATGCTAATTTGTTAGCAAAAAAACAATGAATTGATGTTTTCAAATACCAAAGCTATAAATGTTGTGCTCATTGCTCAGGATCGGTGCAAATTGCCTAACCAGACAACAAAGCTTGATGAAAACTGTAACAAATTACAGCCGATTCAATTACCTTTATAGAATATACGAGCGATTAATGCCATTTCTAGTGATAATAACAGAGCACAGTGAAAGTTCAACGGTTTTTTTTTCTTAAAACAGTATTCAAGCTAGTTTCGTTCGATAGTACTTACATAAATATGAATACCAGTTTGAATGTGTGTTTCACTCGCATTTATTCATTGCGTCCTCACGAGCGTTCGAGTTTATATTTTCATCGATTGTTGTTTAGTTTTAATAAAGTTTTCCTCATTTTTAATTTTTTTTTCTCAAGTTTTGCCATTTTGCAATGCCAATGTGACACTTTTTCCGTCAGTGTAATTTTGCCCGTGTATCGAAAAATGTGTATTTGTTTTTCCAAACGTTGGTAAGTAGCCCAGAAATCGAAGTTGTGTGTAAACCTCACTAGGACCCGGTAAACATAGGCCTAAAAGTGTCGATTATTTGAAAAAGAGATAATCTAAAATATTTGCTGTATGAGTATGTTTGTCATGCTTACCCATCTCTGGGTCGAGATATAGGTATAGATTATCCTTGTTCAATGCGTTGTCAAAAATGGGTTAAGTGCCTTATCAAATAGTATTTGAAAAAAAAAATCTGAAAAATGTCCATCTGTTGAGTGGAAAATATGTATAGACACCTTGGTCTTTTTTCTCTTTGGTTATCGGAAAATGAACGACGGAATATGGAATGCATTAAAGGTAATTACAAACGGGTTATTTCAAAAGCATACTAAAACGTAACAAATTCGTACTAAATATATACAAACTCATACCAAAATTTTAACAATTTCTTACTAAATAATTACTAATTTCATACTAAAAAATACAAAATACATACCAAAAACCAACCAAATTCGTACTAAACCAAATGCCAAATCCTTACCAAAATATGACAATTTCAAACCAAAAATATACAAAATCTTACCAAAAAAATTAAATTGAAATTGAATAAACATTGCAATGGAATACGCATACAAATTGAATGAAACATTTTATGCGGACAAAATGTGTGTGCAACCTAATAAATTGCTGTTTATTCGCTGTATATCTATTTGTTCAGTAAATTGAAGTTATTTAATTGAATTCCTAAGAAGATCGAATTCATTTGCGAAAGAGAATAAATAAACAAAAAGTATCATTTATAACAACGATAACAAACAATAGGCAATAAAACTTCACCGAGAGTTATGATGATAATAGTTTGGATAAAAACGTTTTTCAATTTTGTTCAAATCGATTGGGCATGTTGAAAAGGGTAGGCTCGTCAGAATATGGGTATTTCGTAAAAAGAGTACTTACCATAAACGGGAGAAAAGCGATTTTCTAAGGAAAACGAAACCGACTAAATAAAAATCGATGGACATTTTTTTTTCTTGGTATTCGGGCGTTTATTTTACATTTTATATCTCGGGAGTTGTTGTTGTATTTTTATGACATCAGGGTTTCATTTGATTGGATAGCCATGGATCCAATCGATACACACGTATTTCAACTTATCATAGAGGTTTTTGTGTTTTTCTGTAGTGAGTGTGAGTGTTTTTTTTTTTGGAATTGGATTCATACATCATCTGTTTCGCTTCTAGACTAAACATCATCATATTTTTGTATTCGGATTTTTCTCGATTTACACTCAGTTTCGATTTATCTTTCTTATTTTGTTGTTGTTCTTGCGAATTTTTTTCACTTCATTTTCTTTTCTTGTTTATTTGTTTAATTTAATTACAGAAAACAGTCTTTTAAAGCTTTCATCACATTACAATTACATTAAGACATATAATAATAATAGTTGTTTATTATTATTGTAGTAATATATAATCATATATCATGTTTAAATATATGCATACTTTTCTTTCATTTTCTTCTATCATCCGTTGACATCCTCTGAAAATTTAATGTTTAGGTTTGTTGTTGTCTTTTCTCACTTTCATTCACATCTTATAAATTAAAATAAATCGTATGTGTAGACATATCCATTTGCGAAGCATTTCAACGGTTTTTGTTTTGTTTTGTGGTTTGTACCGCCGAACATTTCAAATGAAAACTTATCTTAAAACGCTTCAAACATTTATATTGATATTTTCATTGAGTGTGGTGTGGGTTTGTGAGTTTGTATGTGTTTGTTTTTTTTTCTTTGTTTGTTCTAAGTGTTTATTTTTTGTTATTTCATTACGATTTATGCCAAAAAAGCTAGACAACATATTACGAGGGATATTCACATTTACAAAGAAACGAAGAAGAAGAAAAAAACGAAACGAACGGAAATTACAGAGAGACACAACGTATGGGAGGGTGGGTAAGGAGGTCAAAAGTGATTGAGATAAAATGATATACAAAATGATGATCGATAGAGTTATTCCAATATATTGTAGACAAATAAAAATATTGTGCTTATTATTACCGACTTATCACTGTAAACTATCGCGCGTCACATACATATTTCAATGAATGTTGTTGTTGTTGTTGCAAACTGTCACAAGCATGGATGCTAAAAAAAAGTGTGCATCGCGCATCCACACACACACGACCCATCATCAACCCATTCAACTTAGCATAGTTTTTATTTTTGTTTTGTCACTCGTATTTTCTTTATTCACATTATCTATAAAAATATTTATTCCTTCTCTCTTTTGTTTTGTTTCTATTTTTCTTTGTGTTGTATGGGATAGTGAGTTCCACATTTCTAACGTTTGCATTTGCCTAAAAAAAAACACACACGTACACATTTCAAGCGGTCGTTTTGGGTCGGCGCGAGAGAAGCTTCGGAATTTAGTTAAGTCAATGCTTGTGATCAGTGTACTGTTTTAATTGATAAATGTTGCTCAGTTTTTTTTTGTGTGTGTTAGTTTTTGTTTGTTGTCTGTTTGGTTCAGTAAAAAAATTATTGTAATCCCACATGAGTCTGTGTGTGTATGCGTTATGTGCAGCTTTGTGGGACTGCACGAGATTTAAAAATATGCCGCGTGCGTTTTGGCTCACACGTTCAATCACTGCAAAATGTGATACATTTTATGAATGCGGTTTTCCGATTTGGTTCAACATATTCTCCAACCTATTGTTTCACTTCTATCTCATTTTACCATATACATATATTTTCATTATTGTTTACACTAAATTTAGATCCGTACAAAATATACAAAATAAAACGTAATAACGAGTTGGTTTTTTTTTTTGTTTTCAATATTTCGATTTTCTTTTTTTTTTTCATTTAGCAAAGGATTTCGTTTAACCTTTTTTTTGTGTCAACTCGATTTCTCCTTCTGTTTGTCTTTTCAAACAATTAATTTATAACCAATAGAACTTTCGTGGTTGATATTTTAACAAACAAGCGGTTGTGTAGAAAAAAACGAGATTCATCTCTTTTTGTTGTTGTTATGGTTGTTAGTTGGTATTGTGTGTATTTGTTTGTTTTTTTTTTTTCAATCTCATCTCAAATGGTGTGTGGCATTGGCCAGTTTTCAATTAAATTTTGCTAGATTAATAAATGATTTTCCATCTGACGCTTCAGTCAGACCGTGTTATAGTTGCATGCATGAGGGGATGAGGAATGTTTTTAATTAGCTGCATATAAACATACAACATATACATTCACAACACATGTACGCGTAAAACACACATCTCTCATTCTCTCTCACTCGATGCACATTTAATAAAAGTGTTCCACTGGGTTGTTGTTGGTTTTTGTTTTTTTTTTTCATCGGTTGTTGTTATTTCTATCCATTTAATACATATTCTATTTTTTTGTCTCTGCCATTAGCCCATTCCATGTGCATGGATGGTGAGTATTTGTGTGTGGGTGTGTATATATTCGTTTTCGGCATTCATTTCATGTTCAATTTCAATAAAAACAATTTTTGATACTATGACGTACCTGATGATGGATCGTCTGAATCGTGAACAAACATCGGTAGTGAGTTATCTGGAATGAACTGCTGTTGTTGCTGCTGTTGATTGCGATATCGATGATGATTTTTATTAATTTTCTGATCGTTTTTATTGATGAGATGTTTCGCATCCAACGAAATTGTACTGTCATCAGGCAATTTTTGATTTTCGCTAGAAATTCGAGCTGCTCGACTCGTTGCCGAAGCTTTTGGTTTTGTGACGGTGGTTGCTCTCGGTTCGGTATTTGGTGTTGTTGTTGGTGTTGTTAATGTTTGCCGCACCGTCGATGTCGTGTCACTGTTGCCAATACTGCTGCTACTACTACCGCTACTGCTGCTACCAGTTGTTGTTGTCGTCGTCGTCGTCGTCGTCGTTGTTTCGGAACTTTTTGTTGGCATCATCATCGCTTCACGCTGATTACCCGCACCGCCCGTAAAACCGTTATCGGTAGCCGCACCACCAAAATCCTTTGGATCGTATTTGGCAAAGGCAATCGTCTTTTGATGATGCATACCCGGTGACTGTTTCAAATTAGCCAAACGCTGTTGAACGATTTTCAAATGTTTCAATATGTAATCCTCTTGTGGTGCCAATTTATGGGCGTGCTGTAGACAATCGAGTGCCTGCGTTAATTTTCCACGTTCCACATAAACGACACATAAATTATGCAATCCCTGAATGTTTAACGGATCGATTTGGAGAATGCGTTTGTAGCACTGTGTATGCAGCGTGTGTTGTTGTTTTGTCAGGGTTTGTGTGTGTGTGTTTGAGTAGACGTTTCGTTTGCGAGAATCGAATGGCAACCGCGTATTGGATGTATGGAAATGGAAACGGAAAAGAGAGAGAAAAAAAACATATCGGATTAGTTTACTTATTCGGCATCAAAGTGAAAAATACAGCAGCTATTTTGCACCAGACACCAGACAGAGGAATAGAAAAAAAGCACGACAACAATAACATGCATTTGGACCATAGAATTATGTGTCTTGGGATATTTTAAAAACGGATTTCCATTGAATTTATTGCCACATTTATTACGATGATGGCGTGAAGTAATTTTCGTGTGTGGCAATTTTCGAAATCCCCTTCCTCCACCTCCTGTCCGGAAAAATAACTTTCCATGAACGATATAATTGGTCCGAATAATACGGCGAAAGGTTTGAACACGCCGTGTTGCTTGCTACATATATGGAAAAATTGCAGCGATGAAGCCATTTTACCCCATTCATTTCGTTTCATAGCCACTTTTCTTCCATGAAACGAACCAACGAACGGAATGAGCGAAACAAAGAATGGCCATAATTATACGGATTTTCAAAATGACATGCATGGATTTAATGCTGTTGCTTTTGTCAGCTAACATTCAATCATTTACATTCTTTACATTCATTTTGTGACGTGAGAAAAACTGTGAAAGTCATCGTCTGACCGAATATTTATGTACACAATTTATTTCACTAAAATTTTCGAGTGAAAAAAAAAAAACAAATGGCAATTCGCTATCATTTTCAGCACGCGGCTGAAGTTAAGAAAAGAAGTGAAACTCTTTATCAAAAATGAAACATCGAATTACGCAAGGGAAAAGAAAACAATGAACGAAACAATTTTCTGTGCTGGGTGTACCGAGAACAGGACAGAGGAAAAAATAACCATCACGCTTTTGACCACTGTGTACTATGTACTATTACAATGTATATTACATGTATCTTGTTCGTTCATTCGTTCATTCGTTCGTTCCCTTGCTCGTCCACCATTCACTCAACAGCTAATTCAATTAAAACTGTTTAATGAATTCATTTTCTTTTATCACAATTTCTATTTATTCATTACGCTGCATTCATTTGACGTGCGGCAAAACCCTGATTTAAACGTTGTGAGCCAGCGAAAGTGTGCGTGCGCGCTCGCTTGCTCGCCCACAATCATTATTCTGTGTGCAATTTTGCAGCGGTCGCTACTTTTTCTTCTTGCATCATCAAATGCTGCGTGTCTGTGTGTATCACTCTATCTACTGCAAAATGTCTGAGTGTGTGTGTGTGTGTTTGTGTGTATCATTTTCAACCTAGCCAACAAAAATAAATTATTCGGCTTGGCATTTTTGAGCGCAAAACGTCATTGTTTTGGATTTGGACGCTAAGTTTAGCCTGTTTATTTTTATGACATCAAATTGTTTTGAGCTAATGCCAAGACAAGTCAAGCTGATGAGAACAACAAAGCCTATGGTTTATATTTTTCTCAACTCATTTTCTCCCGTTCTCTCTGTCTCTCTGCGTCCTGTTTTATTTTCGTTGTGCCAAGCCAAAGCCAAACCCATGCCGCAAATCCAACAAAATTGTAGTTCGCCCGAAATGAATTTTAAAGCAACAGCAACAGAGTATTATAGCACACAAACACACACACACACACAGAAAAAGAAACACCAAAGCAAAACAAAGAAACTGCAAAACTTTACATTAACCCTCTAGTGCATACGTGAACTTATAAGGTTGGTTCATTTAAACCTTTCTATAATGCGAATCATTGATTATGTCACAAAATAATGTATGACAGTTTTCGTTGGAGAACACTAGCGCACATTTCTTTCTCATAAAAATTTTGTGTGCGGTCAACCAGTGTCAAGTTATGACAACATTTGTACAAGAAAACGACGTTTCCGTAAAAATAAATTATTTTCGTTTCGTGTCCTGTTTTTGAAACGTGATTAAATCGAATAAAATTATTTTGTTGACCTCAGGAATTTTTTTTCTGCTTATTTGGAGTGTTTTTAACCAAATTCAATTCAAGTTCAATGATTTTTTACAATTGTGCAACATTTGTCCGTCAATTTGCATACTGTTCTTATAAGTACAGCCATGCAATTTGGATTTCTTTTTGTTTGATATTTTGTGTGCTTGGTTTAGTGTGGAATTTTATTTTCATTTTATTTTAACCTATTTTTATCACAAATAATCCAGAAAAAATGATATTCACGAATTCCGATGTCAACATCACTCAATTTGCAAGCTGTTCTTATAAGTACAGCTATGCAAATTCGGTTTGTTCATATACTTCGCAATTTCCATATTGGTCGTAAATGCATGACTGTACTTATAAGACCATTTTGATTTTTGCGATTTATTGATAATTCCAGCATTATACCAGATTATGAATATTTTTTTAAGTGCTTATGAGGTAAAATAAGCATGGAAAAAAATTCCCAGCTCTGTATAAAATATATGCATTAGAGGGTTAATAAATTAAAGACCGACGAAAATATATACAGAAACCAAAGGAACAAGAATAACAAAAAAAAAAAAATAATTCAATTGGCTACAACTACTGTACAAATACAATGAGAAGAGGAGAAAAACAAAAAAACGAATAAATGAACGAAAAGGAAACTATTTCATTATTGTTTATAATTACATTTTCGGCGGCATCCAAGTCTTTAACATGGTTGATGTAAATGTCCCCCAGTAGAATCAAGCCTTTCGTGTGATCCGGATGGTATTTGACGAGTTGATTGAGAAACGAGGCGGCTTCGAGTGGTCGTTGATCGTCGGCCAGCAGCAATGCCAAATTGAATAGGGCGCTCCGGAAATCGTGTTTCAAATGCACGGAACGCCGAAACCAATTCTCTGCTTCTTCAATGTTTTTATCGTCCATGGCCAGCATGCCCATGTTAAAGTGCACACGCTCGTTTTTGTCTGTTCGCAAATAATAAGCGAACGAAATGGACGCGCGTTTTATGTATAACACATACACACACAATTTTTGGAACGCAGCACGAAGAGAAAAGCGAGAAAGATATCAAAATGAAAATTAAATATAAATATTAACGTTTGAGATTAAGCAATCTACTCTTTTTTCTTGCAGTGTTTTCTTCGAACTATGCACACAATTTGCTAAATATGGTGTGCTCTATGTATTCTGTGACTGTATTCATATTTGAATATAAATGGAATGAATATATAGTGTGCGCTGCAAAAATCTACTTACCGTCCATTACGAGCAGCTTAAGTAAGCGTTCGCGTGCAATTGATCGAAGTTCGGGCCGTCCGAATTCTTGCAGCAAAATCGCTGAATTGAGCAATGCTTGGCCATGTTCGGGGTCAATTTCCAATGCTTTATCCAAATAGGCAAGCGCTTGTGAGGCTTTACCCTGTTCCAACAATACAACACCCAGCTGCAAAATAGCAACATGACGATGACAGAGGCGGCGGCAGCGAATTTTTAAAACGTTGGAAAAAAAGTGACAAGAGAAAAAAACAAACAAACACATTAGCGATGGTTGAGTATTATACTTGACGGTGTATCGTTCAAAGGCAGCGGCGGCGGTGGCAAATTGTGTATCGGGAAGTACAAGACAAATGGTTAATATTTTAATGAATATTTGATATGATGTAATGATTCATTTTATCTCATTTTGGTGTCATTTGTGAGAGATTGTAGGAATACGTGAACGTTCATCGACTTCAAATGGTTGCGCGCTTTTTAACAGCTCTTAAAGTGTTCTCATGCAATTTTCTTTCTATCACTTCTTCCTCCTTCCTAAAGATGCTTTGCTGCTGCCTACGAAATTGCAAGATTTAGTTGCGCTCGACAAACGAGGCGCAAAGTCAACATACACACAAATGAGGAAGGGAGAGAGAGAGAGGCAGCGGGAGAGGAAGGGAAGAGTTGAACACAAGTGCCCCGTGGCAAAGGGGAATGAGTGGATTGAGTGAATTGGAAATGGGATACAGCGGGTAAACGTTATTTTTCGTTGGCATTTTTCCGTTGTGCCAGCAATTTTCATTGGCTCATTTGCACGCATAACACATACATTTCATACATAATGTATGGGGACATAATGTACGAGCACATGTATTTAAGTGAAAATGGCAATGTTTACACTGGCTCTTGAGCAGGGTGCGCGTGAAATTCATGGATATTGTAAACCAGTTTGGAATCGGTTTTGCGCGAACAAAGATGAGCCAACGATGAGCGGGTTGGAGCGCGCGCGTCCGCACAACAAGCGGGAATGGGATGCATATATACGCGGTACAGAAAGAAAAAACCACACGGCATAGCTAGAGAAGGGGAGGGAGAACGAAAACGGTTAATGTTTGAGCGAATACTTACATTATAATAAATATCCGGATTAGTGCTGTCATAGAGCAGCGCTCGTTCGTACACTTCCTGTGCGTCTTTGGTGCGGTTCAATTTGATCAGAATATCGCCACGATTTATGTATGCCTGTGTGTAATCCGATCGCATGCTAATCGCTTGTCGATACAATAAATCAGCCTCCTCCAGCCGTGTATGATTTTTCGATATCAAATTGGCGAGATTCAAAAATACATGCAAATGATTTGGGGCGATGCGTGCCTGATACGTTTCACCTGGTTTCGCTTTTGGTAGCAACGATTTTGCACGTAAAAATGCCTCTTCCGCCTGTTGGAATCGTTTGAGATGATTGTAGGTGCGGCCAACATTTATGTGCGCACCAACATCGTCCGGTTGCACTTGTACAGCAGCCAAAAAGTATTTTAACGCATCCGCATAATTGCCATCACCTTCGAGCGCATGGCCAACGTTGTTAAAGAGTTTTGCATTGCGCTGATTGACACGCAAACCAGACATAAATATCGTATACTCAGTCTTCCAATCCCAATTACGATGATATGTTTTAATGGCATGAGATCCAATCAAGATGCACATAAATAACCAGATCAACTTTCGATTTTGATGGTGCTTTTCATGGAGCACGTGAAAACCGTACGCGATCAGGATGCAAAAGCCCATCGATGGCATGTACAGTACACGTTCAGCAATCACAAAACCAACGGGAAAAAATAAATTCGATGCTGGTATGAATGGTATCACCATGAATGCAGTGCCCTGTGTGTAGGAGAAAGAGATAGAAAAAAAACCGAGAGAATGAGAGATAGAACGAAATCAACGGATTTCGAATGAGTACATTTCGATTTAGATTTATTTGACATTCAAATATTGATTCGAATGCCATTCGCTTTGGGTTTTCTTTACTATCCACTTTTTTGTTCGTGTGTCTGTATCTATTTGTTTGGTTTTTGTTCCAGCGCTTGCATTTAGTTCGGTATGTCGTGGCTCCGGATGAAATTAGATGCACAAATGGAAATGGGCAAACCAGCAGAATGAGCAAACGACAAACGAACACACGCACACACACACACATACGTACATACATATACACGCTGAAATTGCAAACGAAATGGCACATATAAAAGAGCAACAATCGCAATAAATATATATTGTTTTTTTTTCGTTTGTCTCTCGGATGGCTCTCGAAAGACATGCGATGGGAAAAAAAGAAAGAAGGAATGTCGCAAAAGGGGGAAACAAATGTCGAGTTTAAAATGATAAGTTGTTTTATTTCGAATTTTCCGAAATCAATGGGAAAAAGTCTGGACGGATGTGCGCCAACTTGTGCCATTGTCGGTTTTTCGACTACGTCGTCGTGGTGGTGAACATACGAGCGAGTGAGCGCGCGCTAGCTGCACACACAACAAATAATCGTCTTGTTTGTTGTATATGCATAGGGAAATCTCTCAAATGCACTTGCCAGTTTTGAAGCAGCGCGTCGCGTCGCTCTGATCCCAAAGCGGACATGAAATTTGTCGCACAGGCAAAAATAGAAAAGAGAAAGATAGCGAACACACGACAGAACACAAAATGAATACGTGGAAATTTTCATTTGGCTTCCACACGCATATATACACATTTTTATACTGCTCGAAATAATTTTTGCCCGACGAAATTGGTCCTCGCTTACTTTCAGATACATAGAGCAGCAGCAAGAACGGCAGTGACGACAAAAATGGCAAGGCACTTTTCAATGCAAAAACAGAATGAAAAATGACATAAAACGACTACCACCGAAAAAGGATAAACGCAACGAAACAGAACGGAATGAAATGTTGATTCAAGTGACCATTACACAAAAATTGACTACATAGCTCTTTGCTGGTTTGAAGGAATTTGTTTTGTTTTTGGTGAGCTTTGAGCCGCCCGTTTTTTTTTATTGTCTCCCTCTTGGTGTGGCACATTCGCGAAGAACGGGGAGCACTGAACAAATGTTATATTTGATTTCGTGTACGTGTTTGGTTGTGTGTTGGTTCGTTTTCAAATTATGCCAAAATTTGTAACATATATCTCATTTACTCACCATGATGATAGCGGCCGATCTCTGTTGATTATCCGTGTTGAATGCCACCCAAAGTAATGCGATCAACAGTGAGTATGTTGCCAGTGTGGCCAAATTGCGTGCATCGAAAAATGCTTCGACCAAAGGCACTGTTCCCATTGTCCAATCACAGCACAAATCGCATGGAAACAACAGCAGCCAAAAATTCACCGATGTTAAATAATTGTAGGTTAATTGACGCGTTGGACTAGGTGCCACCGATGCTGGATTATCGAATCTATGCAAAACAGAAATAAAAGAAAAAATGGTGAAAAATTGTCAGAGAGAGAGAGAGAGAGAAAACACACATAAATTTCCAAATGTGGAACAAAACAAAGACACCATGAGTGGTTGAACCGGAAGTGAGTGTATGCAGAAAAAAGCAGCTCAAAATCACACACAACAAAAGAAAAGATATTCAAAACCGAACCCGTTGCCGGACACTTGACATGACATAATGAAAAACGATTTGCAAAAATACATATAAATTTCCGAACAATGGAAAAGTTCGCCTCAAAATCGTGCACATAAATCATCGTCATCACATTCGATCGCATATGAAAAAGAAAAATACTTTGCCTTTTTCTTCTTTTTGTGTTATGTTTTTTTGTTGTTGCTACTGCTGCTCTTCTTCTTTTTTTACGCCAGTTTGTTCTTTAGCTCCGGTTCATTCTTTTTGGCATGTGCAAATGCAGACGTAACACCGAATGATGAGAGAGCAAGAGTGTGAGAGAAAAAGTGTTAAAACGAATATACACAGAGCCACACACCAAATGTGAATATAGTCACACTGACTCAGCGATACACACACACACATATAACTCGACGAGTGCGAGCAAGATAATCGCACGACTTGACTGTGCGAAAAGTTTTCGTGCTTAGCACACATCCGATTAAAGCGCAGTGTCTGAGTTTTGGAAAATCGTAAATAAAATTTCGATTTTTCTAGGAAAAACCGTTTGTATTCTCTGGTGTAAAATTCATTCCGCCGAATGATGGTGAGCAACACCGAAAAATGTTTAGTTTCGTCTAACTCTTCCTCTTGCTCTCCTGTACTACTTCCTCTTTTTCACTCACCCCGTGGCTCGCGCGCACTCTCATTCACTCCGACAGTGGAAATCGTAGAAAATGTACTATTCATGAGCTCAAAAGTTATTCTTTTGACATTATGAGTTGCTTCCTGTCTCTCTCGTTGTGTTTTCGATCGAGCTGGAACGTATCATCGTGTGTGTAGCACTTGTGTGTGTATGTGTGTGTGTTATTGTGCTGAACATATAGCGAGCATACACCGGGCTAAGTTTTCGATTTATTTGCTCTCTTTTGCGCTGGCTTTTCGGATGTCTACATTTCACAAAATGTCATTTATACGTGTCCAATGGACGATTTCTTCGCAAAACGTAATTCATTCCTCACAATCTCACCCTTCCTCCCGCTATCTTTCTGTCTTTTTCTCTTTCTCTGGGCTACCCTATTCACAACCGATTTAATTCATTTTCGTGCGATCCTTCTTTTTGTGAAATAGAATACATTTTTCATTTTCGTTTTCTTTCATTCTCCGTTTTCGGCATTTTATCTACAAAATGCTAGAGAGAGAGAGAGAGGGAGAGAGAGAGAGAGAGAGAGAAGATGAGCAAGAGCATGCTATAAGCATGAGCATGAGCAACAACGTATACGGTTGTGCAATGAGACTAATGGAATTTTCTGTCGGTATTGGATGCGACTACTTAATCTACAAAAAGCTGGTAGATTTACAATGACATACACTTGCAAATTGGATTCGCAATGACATTATTACATAATTAGATACGCGACTGCAGCACCAGCACCAGCATAAATACGTGTACCAACAGCACCAACACACAGCTCTGTGTGTTGCGACATCAAAACTTCAATGCGATTCATTAATAAAACAGTTGTAATCGGATTGGACGCTTGTTTTGTATCGCCCTCAAGTAATGGTGACGAGATAATCAAAATGAGCTACAATTCGATAAACAAATTTCCAATCAAACCTTACCACTGTGATTTTTAATCACAACCATTCATTCGATTTCAACCCCATTTTCATTTGATATATTCTCAATAGATTGGACTTTTTCCCTACGCATAAGCTCACGAATTGTTTTTGTGGCGTTAAAATGATTTCCATTTTGTTCAATGGTTGCGAGTAAGAGAACTATTGTGAGAAGTAAAAACGACCTGAAAAAAATTCATGCTGAGCTTCACGGGTGAAAAAGAGTCGGAAAAGTTTTCATTTTGTGTGCCACAGCACACATATATAAAAGATGGGAGATGTATAAAATATATAAAATAAACGGAAAATAGTGCTCACATTGTTTTCAACGGTGGAAAAGCGCGTGCAGAAAATATATGCTAAATTATTGAAATTTGCTTTGGGATTACGAAACTTATTCCTCTTAGTATATATGTATGTGTATTTAGTTTTGTGCTACATGTTTCACATGGTGTCAACAATGAGTTCAGGATTGTAACTTTGACTTGCTGTAGTTTCACGAATCCCAACCCTTCACTTTATCCGAATACTCTACTCCATTCATGCTGTTTCAATCGAATAATATATTTTCACCATGAACCTTGTTTCAGTATGGTGATTTTGTAACACACTCAAAACCACCATCACCACCTTTAGGATAACAGTGTTTTTTCGTGTGTGTGTGTGTTGCTATTTCATTGAAATTCTCTTTGCAAATGGAATCAGCTTTGAAATTGTAAAATCCTTCTAATTATAATAATATCCATATACTACACATATACATATTTATACGTACCTTGTAAAGACCGGTAACTGCGAACCCATTACTTTGAAACGTGCAAATAATAGTCCTATCGTCGTTAGGAAAAGCACGCATAAGCGCTTCTTTGTATCCGATGTCCAAGTACCAGATGGCAATATAAAACTTTTTCCACTAACGATGCAACGCAGACAATGCACAATATTTCGAATTGAGATCTGTTTGCAGGCAAACATTTGCATCAGCCGACACAAAAGCGGTTGAGGTGTACACAAAGTTGATGAGCACCATTCAAGAGTTGATTCAGTTCCGGAGCACCAACATCAGCAGGAAAAAGGTAGAGAGAGAGAGAGAGAGAGAGAGAGAGAGAGAGAGAAAATGGAAAAATGTTAATAACATATAAACAAATTAAGTACAAAATAAACACTACTGAAATTCTTGCTTTGAACTAAATTGGATGAATAGCATTTTGAGCGCAACGGTAAAAATATCGTCATTTAATTACTCGAGCCATCATTTATTTCCCATTAGAAATGCTGGAAAATTACCACTTTGCATCACTAAGAACACCGCATTGCATTCGAGTATGAAGAGAAACGATCGTTTAGTAAGTGCAAGTGAGTTGAAATAATTTCTCATTTTCACTCATTCCTCCATTGTGTCTGTTAGTCGTCGCTTTTTCATTTCTTTTTTAAACCAGTTTAAAGTGCAGATTATTTTTTTTTTCTAACTGATCAAAGAAACTGGATCTCAAATTGATTGGAAAATGTAATTAATTCAAAAGGCGCTCTCGATAAATGGATTACCATCAAACTTTTCAAACTGCATCATTTTAATTGTTCACTTTTCGTGTAACTTGTCTTTCTGGATTTTGTGCCACCAGACAAAAGAGACCAAGAGAAAAATATTTCTACGATTAAAAATGACTGGAACAAATTCAGGTTTTTAGTTTTAATACCTTTGAGTAGATTGGTATTAACCGAATTCTCTGTAAACCGGAACGAATCGACGGGAACATTTGATTTTGTTTGATGGAAACCAAGCCACAATTGGTGGCAACTGACCAGGATTACAAACGGTTGTATATGAACAGGGAACTATCCCATTTATCGAGATAATGGAAGGCATTGACATTGACTCCCGAATAAAAAGCATTTGCCGTAAAAGTTTTGAGCAAGTTGAGTGAATTAGTTTTCTATCTATTTGAAAAACATGAAAACCACATGCATTCATATCCGTCCGAACATGATGTGGGGAATGGTGAATTAGCCGGAGAAGTGGATATATCCAGCATGGATATGTTGATGGCATGGCATGGCATGGCATGGCATGGCATGGGCCAAACTGGCAATGAAAAAGAAACAGCATATACACACACAAAAACCTACTTGAATGTTTGCAAAGTAATAATGAATCGCACATTCTAGTATATGACGTTGAGGTTTTTCGTTTTTCCATCGAGGAAAAAGGGGAAAAAGTGGGAGACTCACTCGATTCAATTTGATCTTTCAAGCGGTTGTCGGTGCATTTTTGGCGATCCATATATTTGGTGGTGCGCGGTTCTTAGTTTATGGTATTCGGGGTGGGCTTTCAACTTTATATTAACACTTGAATCCAAATTGGTGCCATTCTTCGTACATTTTTCTATTGGGATTCGGTGAGTGCGAGCAGCGATAGTAGCAGTAAGAGTAGCAGTAGCAATAGCAGCAGTGGCAAGCTTCAGTGTACGATGAGAATATTTTTCGTTTGTTTTTCATTCATTTTCTTAAGCGAACCTTGGCGGAAATCAAATCGTCTAAGAACAACCATCACACCATTTTAAAAGCACTTTGTTTTGCCTCGGACTTTGTCTTAACGTTGCGCATTTTTGCTGTTGCTACTCCGTCGTTCTCGTTCTTCCTTTGAACTCTTTCATTCTCAAAGTTTGCATTTAATTTCAACACATGAGCGTGAATAAATTAAGTGAACGTGGAAATCCACTAATTCTACATTGTACGAATTCAATCAAGGGCCACCATCGTCGTTTTTCTTTTGCTGAGTTTTAGTGTGCATTTTTAGCACTACATGAAATGTAGAGCTACTAATCTGCTTTTTTTTCCTAGATACTTTTTGAGTGTTGAAACAAAACAGTAGCAGTAACGACAAATAGGTGCATAATATCTCAAAGCGCCCATCAAATTTTTATTATCAAATGTTGTTTAAAAATTACATTAATTTTTCGTATAATATTTTCTGAGTCTTGAACAGAATTAAAGTGATTTTAGATTCTATGCTCATATTATTTATTTAATTTAAACCAAAGGCAGTATATTTCAAAAAAGAAATTAAACCAAGATCTTGTAATTCATTTTGCAAATAAATATATTACTTCAAAGTTACTTTGATGAAATACATTTCATGTAGTGCGCCAAAAAATAGTTTGTTGTGAAACAACAAAATGGATTAAGTCACTAAAAACTGAAGAACGCAGAGCGAAGCGAAGCTCTGCGGTCTTGTTTTTCTTCTCACGTTTGTCTCTCACTATCTTGGTATTTTCAGCACTTTGCCATTCTTTCCGTTTTGTGCGCTTCGAATCGAGATTTTATGATCTTATCCACAAAACACACCGGCTAAGTGCGAAAACTTTCAACAAAACTTTTCCATTTTTCAGAATGAGGCGAATAATGCAAGACGTCAGACCCATTCACACTTGCTTGCCATGGGAAAAATTGTGTACAAACAAATGCATGGACGACGGTGTGTGTGTCTCTAGTTTCTCACCAACATTCTTCGTTTGGCTGCTGATGCTCATGCTACTCTTTTTTTCCATCTTCTTATTTTATCAATTCACAGAGAAAAGAGTGTGCGATTGTGGAAAGCTTTACGATTTTTCTTCTCTCTACCTCCTTCGACTTTTTGCACTTATTCATTATGATTCTTCTTTTTGAGTTGAATCGGAGTTAGACAAAAGAGCAAAAAGAGAGAGAGAGAGAGAGAGAGAGAGAGAGAGAGAGAGAGGGAGAGTAAAAAAGACTTACCTTTTGTATAACAAATATTTCATAAACAGCACAAATAGCCGTGACTGTAATCCCCTGTTCTTTGCACAGCATAGCCGTTGCTACCGAAATCATTGAAATTGCCAGATATTTCCATCCTATAGAACCACAAACACCGGCGTTGATGTACAGGTAAAAAAAATGTTGTTATTTTTATGTTTGTGTATATAAAAATAGATTAGAAAAGAAGGGAAGAGAAGAGAGAAAAAAACCATCGTTACAATCAAGTCTAAATATGAGATTTTACTATGGAATGGGAAAATGTATACAAAAAAAGGAAACAAACGCACTTGCCATTGAGACTTCAATAAAAACGAAGCGCCAGAGGGATGGGTACAAGTAAAAAAAATGCCGACAACGAACAATGCTTCGTCCAACGCGATGTGAGAGGATTGAGGTGAGGGACGGAGAATAGAGGGTGAAAAGCTTAAAATCATTATTTGTCGATAGCATTCTTTTTTTACGGTTTTGATTGGATTAAAGTTTGAAAAAGTTCGACGGCTGGCGCACGAATTCCTACCCAAAACAAAGCCAGATCAGTGAATAAAGATTTTGGACAAATCAAATGAAAAATGCAAGAGAGTCACCTAGATGTATTTTTTGTGTAACGTTATCGTTCACACTTTGCTTGCGAACTTGTCGAGAAAGCGAGAGAAAGAGAAAGAGAGAGACAGAGAAAAAAAGTGACCGACACACCCAGAGAGAGAGAGAGAGAGAGAGAGAAGGAGATAGAGACTGAAAGATTCGCTGTTACTCGTTCACTTTGGACAAACTAAGCGAGAAAATGGATGCGGAGAAGATAAATAAAGCAGAAAATAGATCCAGGAGTGCGGCACTTAAATACGGTAAAATGACACATTCACACACAGGTTATGTGTGTGAGTGGGAGTAAGGTTGTGTGTTTTTTTTTCGTTGAGAAAAAACATTGGGTAAATTGAAGCGGGCGAGCAAAATATGTAGGAGTTATGGACGTGAATTAAATTGTTATGCTAGCGTATACTCACCGGTTAGCTTGCTCTTTTTTTCTAGTGTTGATTTTACGTAAAATATAAATGCAAGTAGAAAAAATACGGACGACAATGTTTCAGCTCGACCAACGACACCTGTTACCTGTTGAATATAGAAGAAAGAAAAAGATTTAGTACACACATACGCACATTTAATAATTTTGATATTGTATTCACAGTTAAATCCATAACATAGAATATGCGACACTTTGACCGAGTACGATGAGACAAAACAAATTGCGCCAAAGAAATGAGGATAGGAAAAAAAGAAGGAGATGACGACGTCGACGATGAAAAAAAAACTGAAAAGAAAGAGAGAAACGACCCAAGCACACCAAATGCATTGTCACATAAAAGCATCGCATTTCCACAACGACAAAATGAAAAATGGTCGTACGAAATGGTGCTCCAAGCAATGTGCTCCATTCCATTTGTTTTCATTGCAAGACTTTTCTTCAGTGCCATTTTTTATCCCCTTCTTCTCTCTCTTCGTTTATGTGTGTGTGTGTGTGTTTGAGATATAGAGAAAGAGAGAGTGAATGGCCAAAATCAACACTGAGAAGGATCGAAGCAAAACAATTCCCTTCCATTCACACTGTACATATGCAGCATTAAGGTTGCACATAACCAGTCAAGCAACTAAACGAATTATGGACACTTTTAGCATCGCTTCTAATCATCGTCGTAAACATTTTTGCGCTAGGTGCCGTTCGAATAGCAAATACAACACACACACACACACAATATACCAGTGTCAGAGCAATGATAAACACCACTCATGGAAATACAAGTAAAATCACTTTGAACGCAGCCATCGGTGTCATCGTTGCGATGACGACTGTGCTTTTACCGAGATATAGAGCCACGGACAGAGAATGATATGGAGAGAGAGAGTGAGAGTAGCAGAGAAAACGGCTGCTAAATTGCAAATAAACATTAATGCATTGTAAGAAAAATGCAGTTGTCATCATTTTGAGTCATCTGCGGCACGGCACACAACAGACGGACTATGGCTTTCAAACACATAACACAACAACCGATTGCACTTGATATCTTTTGTTGCTGAGCAAAAGCGTCCCTCATTTTTTATTCGTCAATTTCATTTTTTTCGTTCGTCGTTTCGCTGAAACGATTGTCATTTTTTTTTTCTATTCGTGCACTGTCTTCGTTCGTTGTCATTTCTTATGAGCTGGTTGACAAATTCTTTGCCCCGCATATCCATTCGCTTGTACAGCTAAAGTATATGCAATGTCTTGGTAGCAAACCGAAATCATTTCCATTTCATCGCTATCTCTCCGCCATATGACATTCAACGTTCACGGTTTTTGTATACTTATTATTGCTTCTGCTGCTATTTTTGTTGTCTTGTTTTTTGTTTGTTTAGCCTTCCTTCTTCTTCTTTTCTCAGTTCGTTTTACTTCTCTCCACTCGTTGTTACTTCTTTTTTCGCGCTCGCGACTCACTCACTCACTTTGATTCTTATAAAAAATGCACCGCACCAAATGTGAGCAGCGGCCAAAGGAACTAAAAACGGAAAATATTGTATTCAAAATATGCACGAACGGAAGATAATAGAGGAAAACTATGACGTTAAATGAAAGTTCAGACCGACAAATATAACCAGCGAAAAATGGGAGATTGGCTCGAGAGAGAAAAAGTATACTATGCCACATACATAACATTCAAAAATGTTTGTACAGAAGAAAAAAAAACTTTATTTTCATATTCTCTTAAAGATAACGAACCGAGATTTATTTTGTCAAATAGTTTTGCTGTATGTATACGGATGTGTATGTGTTTGAGAGAATGAAAAAGCCGAAATTGAGCACGGAAATGGCTTTTATTATTCAAATTTGAGTTGACAGTGTGTAAACAATGGGGAATTTCGTAGCAGTTTCGTCGAAAAATGTGAATGCTTTTTCAACAGACACACCACAGCCCTTAAATGGTAGACACCAAGACACGCTGGTAAATATGATCAGCGCAGGAGTGTGAGAATGAGACAGTGTGTGTGTGTGACAATGGCACAGCAGAAGGAACTTATATATTTATTGTGGAGGCCAATGTGAATATTTGCGTGCGATGAGTGAAAGGTAATCCATTTTTCAGAAATAATTGCCGGAGAATCTGCAAGACTCCATTCTTGCGACGACTCTCAGCCCTTCCTAAATGATCATCTGGCGTGAAATAATTTGGCCATTTGCTTTGCTCTTTTTCTGTACAATATGTATATTCATGTTGGCCGTTATTCTCGCGGTTTTTGTTCTTGTTAGCATACGGTTCCATCGTTGAAATAAATCTAAATTACCTTCAACACACACACACACCATTCCCATTGCATGTTTCAAATTTTCATTTCATCGTATTGAATTATTGCGGTAAAATTTTCAATTGTTGCCGTTTGGCAGCCAGTTGGCGTGGTGCGGTGATACTGCTGTTCACCCCAAGTGTATTTTTCACTCCATCAATAAAACAAAAGTTTGGCCGAAACGATATTGCACATGCTATGCGGCTCTTTGTGCTCTCTCTCTCTCTCTCGCTCTTATTGTGTGAATTGTGGAAATGTGTAGGGATATCATATGGTGTGGGCGCACAGTGCGAACCAAACACGAAAACTGGCAAAATGTATGTGCATGGGGCTATATCAAAATTTCAGCAAAGTTTTTCTCACTCTTTTCCACCGTCGTCGTCATCGTCATCGTGGTCGTCGTCGTCGTCGCCGCTTTCCTTCACTTACGCATTCATTGCTCTTCATTGTATCCCATTCCAATTTAAATTATAACCAAATATTTTGTGCAAATGGCACGCTCTCACTCATCCAGCCCCAGCTCATGGTGCACAAAGCAGTTTAAACACGGGAGAGAACGTTTTGCGTGCGCTAAAGTGTAATTGAAGGAAAGCTACCGAATTTATGTATCTAGAGAGAGTTTACGTTTACACATAATCATCTGTTATTTGTTTTGTTGGATTCCGTTGCGCGCGCGATATTCATTCTTTTTTCATCGCCGTCACCGCTGGATCGCCTTTTTCTGTATTTTTATGTGTATGTGTATGTGTGTTATCGTTCATATTCAACGAGCTCTATTACTAGGGGCCTCACGCCAAAATTTATGCACCAAAAATGTATTTTTATTATTCGAATCTAATGAAATCTACTAAAATTCCAAAACAAATTTATTATTACCCGAACGCGGTATTATTCAGTATTATTATTCATATTCACCTTATACGATAACGAACGTTTTTGCTAATTTTGTTGAAAATTTTGACATTTCAATAATATAGCAGATAATGGCGATTCTGTGATTCTGCTGACAGCTAGCCTCATAGCAACTGTATTTTGTTTGTTTTTATCTTTGCTAAGAATTGGTTCGAAACTAAGTGTCAAACATAGACAAATACATTGCGCCCGCAACGCATACAGATGGCGTTGACTGTTATAGTGCTAGCGGATTCAAAATATTAAGCCAAATTGAAATTATGCTTACAAATTCGTTTAATTTGTTGAAACATAAAAAAATTTAAACGATGAATTTTTATTCTAAATATGTAAATTGGCGTGAAGCCCCTAGCTCTATTATACTTTGTATGCCGTAATCTGTAGCAGCGTGTGTCTGTAAATGTTTGCGAAGTGTGCACGCATCGCATTACTTCAAAAAGTAAGACAAACAACTGGTATAAATCATGGTCCATATTCTTATGCTGAGGGAAGCAAGAGATCTAGCGCCAGAGCTCAGCACACACACACACATACAAAAAACGGGCAAAACACTTGTTCTTTTCTTTTCATATCCCCGAAATTTTTATAGCCAACAAATTAAACAGAAGCATAGCGAAGAGCGTCGATATGAATGAGAGAGAGAGAGAGAGCCTTTTGCTCTGAAAGAAGAAATAGAGAGAACTCAAACACGTACACATCCAGGGAAAACAAGAACCGAAAAGTCCTTCGTTGGCAAAATACGAACGAATGAAAACAAAACAGGCAATCGACGCTGGGAGAGCCAGAAGAAAAACTGCAATCCATGGATTCTTTCATAGAAAGTTATGTTTGTATGATGTGAAAGGTTAAAGTTTCGTAAATCTGATATGTTGTACATTGCACATGCTATGCGGCATACGTACACGCGACACACTCGCTCTAGCGCTCTCTGTCTCTGTACATGTACATCGTTAAGTGCCGGATCGTTTGCGTACGAAAAGCTCGATTTCTTCGGGCAAAAAAAGGGCAGCCATACATTGATTTTGCCAAAGATGCCGTAGATTCTTGCTCCGACTCTGCTCATATCTGTTTTGGTTTTCCAGCACGAAAATCCTCCCGTTCCGAAAATCGAAGAAGAAAAAAGATACAAAAAACAAAAAACAACCACGAAGCAAATGGTGCCGCCGCCGTCGAAGAACATGAACAGTTGAAACTGTTGGGAATGCATGCGAGCTTAGATAAATCGTAAATTGAAGTAAAATTAAGGTTTTATTCCGCTTTCAATTCAAATCTACTCACAAGGTTGCTGCAACAGCAATATACCACAGGCGATCCTGGTGGCACCGATTGTAATGTGTTGAAAAATACATTGTAACACACAGGATTTTACTATCGGTGTCACAAGGTGTCGCTAGTGGTAATGCTCTTGCAGCAACGGTGTGAATCTACTGCAATACTTTGTGCGAGAGAGAGAGAGAGAGAGAGAGAGAGAGAGAGAGAGAGAGAGAGAGAGAGAGAGAGAGAG